TTCCGAATTCTAAAAGATACCATTAACACTTGCCTTTTGTCAATTTTTTTAAATCTAAAACCCATGTGTTGAACACACTTCCATAAGGTAGTTCTGCCACATTTAACACCGGTGTCATCTTTTTCAAGCTTCCTAATCAAGATATCTAATGTAGGCACGCTTTGTTCCTCGTATAACTGGTAAATTTTGCGCCGTATTATATCTTGATCACTTTCATCTATACTCGAGAAAATGTCGGCATCGCTGCTTTTTTTCCTCGCTGAAATGGGATTATTCACAATTTTCCATACAGTTGATGTTGGAATTTTCGTCAATGTAGCCGTTTCTTCTAAGATGCTTGCTTGCTGGCACCACGTTCAATGAGAGTCAAATAAACATTGTTTATAACTTCATCAGTCTCAATAGAATAGTGTTTTCTTCATTTGGGCGGGAGCATCTCCTGAGATACACTAGACTCGCACATATTTTGCATAATTCACACACGATTCAACACACGCTGTATTACACACGAAATAAGAATGATTACTAATAAACTTACCACCTGCTATCCACTGATGTGGATAGCACGTGGAAAGCTATAAAAGACATCTTAAATGGGGCCGTTGAAGCAAATCTGAAACCAACTCCTACAAAAAATAGGAGAGAGTGGATGACAGGGGAAATCTTAAATCTGATGGACTCACGGAGGGAATGTAAAGCCGCTAATGACATAAATAAGTACAGACATCTTAAAAGAATAATCCGCACCAAAATAAAAAGTGCTAAGGAACATTGGATAGAAGACAGATGCTCGGAAATAGAGGAATTGCAAGGACGCCATGACCATTTCAACCTACATAAGAAAGTGAAAGATTTTACGGCGACGAACAGAAAAACTGCAGTCCACAACATATTAAGCTCGGATGGAAAATTATTAGACTCCACAGAGGGAAAACTACAAGAATGCGAAAAATACATCAAGAATCTGTCCGAAGGCGCCAGAGCAGAGCCCTACCAGACGGACATGAACACGGAAGAACCAAGTATTCTGGAAACCGAAGATCTGCTGAAGACAGAGAGAGATTTGATACTGTGATATCCAACCTCCACTGATGGAGATGGCACGTCAAGAAGAAGACTAATAAACTTAAACTAAGTAGTATACCAAACCGAAGAATATTAAACACATGTAGGTATAAAATTATTTTCTATTACGAAACTTTAATGACCACCCTTGGATAATCTCATTCAAAAGCAATTGGTCACTTTCTTATATCTATGAACAGACCATACCGCGTCCGTCACAGCGAAACGATATAAATTTAATATTAATCGGAATAAATTATAAGCCGCGTGAGACATTGAAAAGGATTTCCTTCGCGGAAACGTACGGTGGTTGCAGGATATTACCGATATAGGTGTTTACGTAACTGTGCACTAATTAGGCGTACAAAGACATTTTTCAATGACGTTCGTAATGGCTTATTAAGTACTCTGAGAGCAACGCCTTAAAGCCATTTTAAAACTGACGAAGTCTTACGTTGAAAGAAAACCGCAGCTTTCACGATACTAATTATTATCAGTACCGCACCTTATTTACACAAAGGATGTTTCGTTTTTACGAAATAAATGACATTCCGCCAAAAACGTTGCTCTCAATTCTTCTGAAAAACATGTCAGTTTTTTCTAAAAGTTGGGATTTCTGAACAACATGCGAGGTTTTTTTTGATTATGTTAGAATTTCTATATTGAATCAGAACTTCTGAAAAATAAGTCAGAATTTACGAAAGAAAGTCAGAACGGGTGACTTTAAGTAAAAATTTAATAAAATCCAGTTTATACAGGGTGTTCGGAAATTGAGTTTGGAACCTTGGAGGAAAGATTCAACGTGATAAAATAATTGTAGTGGAAATTCGTTAAAATCAGTTTCTATTAAAAGAGCTTATTATCCAACTGCTACTGTGATGGCCCATGGGATGGCAATTATATTGAGGCTTATTCCAATAAAAACGTTCCACTAAGACATTCATCAACATACACAGAAGAGTTGGTGGACCTGATAATATGAATAAAGGGAGACGAACGAGTTTCCGAACCCAATTTCCGAACACCTTGTATAATAAGCAAAAGGACACTTCATTTTAGTTACTTCTTTTTGCCAAAATTCTGACTTGATTTTCAGAAATTCTGATTTGTTTTACAAAAAAAAAACACTTATAAAACTAACCAAAACTTAGGTACCCTCTTAGGTACCGTATCACTTTACACGATTGTTAAGGTTTCCTTCTTGTTTTTGGCCGAGCTTTACCACTGCAGTTCCCTCAATATGTAAAACATGACGTGTCGTATTTCGTTAATAGATTCCCATCGAGATCTTCGAGCAGGTACCGCCGCCTGAAACCATATAAATTCCTCTAGATTGGTGATAATATCGTTACTTATGGTACCGTCCGCTTACGATGCTATAGATGCGATCATTTGAATAGGCACTAAGTACAAATAGTGGTACCGAACGGTTGAAATCTAGCGTAAAATGCAGGTCTCTCGGTTCTCGGAAGGAATCGAGTCTTCTCCCCAGTCTCCTTTGCGCGGTACTGCTCGCGGAGTTTTTTTTTCCTTCGGAACCCGCAATTAACCCTAGAAGTTTTGGTAATTCGGTTCGCGTGACCGGTGCTGTTCGGGCGTGGAGATGGAGAAAAAAAAACGCGCATTCCGCCAAAGGCGGTACCGCAGAGGAGGCGAAAACGCTGCGCGCCACGGACGTACCTTAAATAACAGGCTCTCTCTCGTTTCCATCTATCGTTCACGCCCGCGGGCGCCTCATTGGCCACGTTGCCACGGTACCATCGGCAACTTAAAGTACTTTATAGTGACACCATATATAGTTGGACTTTCGTACAGATTCCGTCGAACGTATTTTTGTAACAATGTTCGTAAAGTCGCAGCGGTCGTTGGTACCACTTAATTTGTTGCGGTACCTTGCGGTGACAAGTTTGGCTGGGTTTCCCCAAGACCATTTCTTACTTTTACTATTCCGAGCCGGACTCTGCGAAGAAACGGCAACAGCGGCGGGCCTGCGATGCTGTATATATTTTAGCAGTTGCAATTAGTTCGGTACTGCTTTCTAATATATTTTCTTTGTCTCTCGCTTCCTCTCGCGCTGCATTGTTCCCTAATTGGACCCGCAGTTTTATTTCTAGAGAAGCGTTGTTTAGGTACTACCGGCAGGGTCGGTGGTACCTATGTGGACGCACACAACATGCTCGGTTAAACGCCCCAATATTTACATACATGGATGATTAGCAACCAATTACATTAAATCTGACTTCGAGCAGGTGTATTTATTCGGTTGTTGAACATACCAACACCTCTATCTATACATATAACTCTAATGGTCTTGGTTACACAGTCAATGTAGATTTTGTGAAGCAAATTTTATTTCGAGTGAGACAAGTGGTCATTGTTTTTAGTCATTTTCGTTAATACCAATGGGGGATCAAATCGTTTGATGTGATATCATTTTATACTTCGACCAGAAATATAGTGCTTTTACAACCGATCCCGTGATTAACTTTGGCTACTATCGCAGTCCCTTATAGAACCCGCTGTCGAGCAACCCCTTCCCGCAACCATTCCAGGGCCGTCTTAGGAATTTATCTACCTACACTAACAACCTACCTACACTTTTTCGCCAATCAATTCTTGAAACATGTACATAGAAAAATTTGTATAAAGTAGTTATTACGTTCTATTTCAATACATTTGTACAAAATATGCATGCATATATTAATATGCAAAATATTAAATAACTCTTGCCGAATTACGTTTATGGTACTATCGGTAAATTATGGTGCAGTGTTGTTTACAAATCGAATAACTCTGTAGAAGACACAAAAATACAAGAAGAAGAATGTTGTTAATCGACAGGCACACAAGAAAAATGATTAAATGAAACTTATCTCTCAGTTAAATGCAGTGAAAACAGCCTCGCAGGGTCAAAGCTCGAGAATCAGATACATAAATACGTACTTACTGTAAGGATCCCAGTCAAATACGTCCATAATATATACGAACATATTAAGATTGATGCAAATCGCCTGATGCCTTTCATTCATTCTACTTCATTCACGTTTCAAATAAAAATTTCAAGCTTCTACAAATATTCGTTACGGTCCATCTCAGGCAAGACCTACTTAATGCAGAATAAACATTTATTGGGATGGGTTTTACCACGGTCCTGCGAAGGTTAAGGTACTGTAAAATACTTGAAATATCAGAGCAATAAATGCACTATATTTTTGGTCGTATTATAATTGTTTATCCTTCTTTGAACCAACCTGCTAACAATTTCGTGCGGATGTTAATTAACAAGTATTTTTCAAAATCCTAAATTCTCGTATTACATATAGTTGCAGTATTTTCCGCCTACCGGATATTACTTGATCTGATTGTGTATTGGTATTGATTTGGTTTTCACAAAAATGTAAAAAGAAAATTAAAAATTTTGGCTTCTTTGCATAAACAAAATATTGGTAAAATATACATGTTTAGGTGTATACGTGTGGTTATACAGTTCAAGTTTGTCTCGAAAACCTTTTTTTTTTAAGTTAAATAATGTGTTGTTCATAGTTTTAATTAAAAAAATAACTGTCCATTAGACCATCTTTATATTTTGAAACAATAGTGTAGAGTGAATTAATGTTAATAATTCCCAAATTATAAAAAAAATAATATAATTATACATTTTATACAAAGTCTAAAGAGAATATTATTGCGTATCAAATATTGACACTAAAAATGTAAATAATGTAATCGCTTTCAGGTAAGAACTACATCAATTACATTGCCTTAAATTCAGGAAACAACGAGAACATTTCATATAAATGAGCAAGAGAAAGACAACAATCCCCATTACTGAGCCGTCTCTTTCTATTATAAAATTTGTCTGGATTTTTGATATTTTTTCGGTTTTTGCCAGGCTCTTTCTTCCTCGACACTCAATCGAGCCCTTTTGCTTTCAGATGTACCTGCAACGAAGGATATACGGGTCAAAACTGCGAGAGCGAGTATATACCGTGCGATCCCAGTCCCTGTAGCAACGAGGGACTGTGCCGGCCAGGCGAAAAGCACACCTACACCTGCGACTGTCCCTCAGGTACGTACGACTTTGTTGCAGCTTTAGACGATAAAGATGGATTCCCGCTTTTTTGATGGGTCGTTCCAGAAGGAATAAAGTACCAATACGCGCCCCGTGGCACGGTACATTGCATTCGTCGCTCCCAGCAATAGCGTATTCGATCGGCAACAACGAACCCATTGATTTGGTACGCTGACATGTACGCGCCATATGGCATATAGGTACAAGTCGAGGTACGGTCGTGGTACCTTGACTAGTCCTCCGGTGGTACCGTCTCGCGTAGAACGCGGTGCCAAAGCGAGGCGGTACCGCCTGGCTATAGTACGTCGACCGCACCCGTGCCGATTATGTTATGACTATTCGATTCCTCAGACCCGAGGAGTCTCGTCAAAACAAATTTCTTCCATGTCCCTGTCAGCATACGTATGGCTTTTATCTCTTTCCCGAAATGGGCGTGTCTCGAATTTAATCCCGACGCAAACAAAAACGCAGAGTTCGATTTGTACCGAAGTTTGATGCGAGAAGAAAATGATCGTTACTTTTAATTCCCTCCTTCGCAGACTGCGAAAATGTGCTTGGGTCAGGTTGAACCGGCAACGTGAAATTTCAAAAGTTACGATCCCATTTTAATTTCTAGTTAAGTTGAAATAGAATTCAAGTGTCTAGGAGTTGGACTCAATATAACTGACCAGGGCAGGGCAGCTAGGAAACTCCTCCTCAGCAATTTATATTTTTATGGTTCAAAAAAAGATTTCGTGACCCGGATACTGTTGAATAACAAGCAAACTTAGAGATGGCTGTTTGGGCTGTGATTTAACTTCATTTTTCTGAGTGGGAAGACTAACTTATTTTAAAATGACGATCGACTACAATTTCCATCGCAGCAGTTTATTGTCTCAAAATGATTGTTCTGGGCTTTTGTCTGGGTACCGTAGATAACATGCAAGTTGGAATGAGTAATGTGATGGTTACTCTCACAAGTGAATGTTTGATATAACTCTGGTTTTGCGCAGCTCGTTCCAGTGGATTGACTTGATGAAAATCCATTTAACACAATTAAATTAGAACAAAAAATGTTCAGATTTTCACAGTTTTTAATAATTTATGACAGCTGTTTCGGCAACACCGCGCCTTTACCAAATACAAAATACAACTATAGTCCGACACCCATATATATAAACGGGTAGTAGCAGGGCGTTTTGATTGATTATGTAAAATATGAAAAGTAGCGTCAAAGTTGTGCATGTCTGAATTTATATAGTTAAAATCCGAACTTTTATTTTTATACGCCCTTTTATATTGTTAATGCCTTTTTTCAATGTTCTACTTGTTTGTCCGATATAAGTTTTGGGACATGATCCACATTTCAACTTGTAGACTCCGGATTTTTGAGTTTTTCGTAATTTAGTTTTATTGTTTTTTAAAAAATGTCCTATGGTGTTTTCAGATTTAAAATCAATATTAATACCAAGTTTAGATAAATGTTTCGAAATTTTCTTGCTGGGTTTTATTAATTTTTGTGTTCGGTGTTTAATATGGGATAGATAGAGTTCAGAGTAATTTGAAACTGCTTTTTAGTTATAATCTTATCTATCAAAGATCGGTCGCAACCATTGTCAAAAGCTATTTGTTTTATAATATTTCATTCTTTTTGAAAATTTTCTGTGGAAAGTGGTATATTAAGTAGTCTCGTGGATAAAAGGGAGCCGTTTTGTGTGTAAGGGTGATTTGAGTTAATATGTATTATTGTGTCCGTGTGTGAGGGTTTAGAGAGTTATTCAATTCCGTCTCTTCCGCCTCTATGGTAAATTTAATACTGTTATGTATGGAGTTAATATGATTCAAAAAGCACTGCAGTGGTCTTTCTGTTCCAGTGAAACAAGCAAAAACATCGTCTACGTATCTATACCATCAGAGAAATCCTTTACTCAGAAAACCAAAATTACCTGAAGAGGAATTTTACCTTGTTGCTTTCGAAAAATTATGGAATCAGCGTCGAAAAAAAAAAACGTTTCCATTTTTTGTTTGACCGTTCTCGGTTCTCTGTTTTCACTTATTATACAGGGTGTTCGGGATATTCTTTTCAATATCAAAAAACCTCATAGGTCATTCAAATATGTAGCTGTCGACTTCACATTCGGCAAGGAAGTAAATAAAATTAGCTTCCAGAAAAACATGATTTTTTAAAAACTATTCAAACGATCGTCAAAATTTTAGAACCAGGGAACACGGGAGATCCGGAACTATGACTTTTATTTCAGACATTTTTTCGATCATATTCGGGGTGTTTCAAATATGGACAAAAATCTGAAAGACCGTGAAAATTGTACTTTTCAGGAATAAATTATTAACAACAAATCAAAATCTTTAAAAAATATGGCTGATCGGTTCAAACGTTGTTATGGGCTTGGGCTTGGGTTGTTATAATTTGTGTATTTACAGTTTTCGAAAAAACTTATTTTCACGAAAACCATTTACTATTTTGGAAAAATTCTCTGACCAGAAACCGTGGAAGATCCAGGACCATAACATCTACTTCGGACAGTTTTTCAATTATGTACAGGGTGTGTCGGTAATCGGCAAAAAATATAAAAGATCCTGAAAATTTGCAGTTTTCGTGGATGAATTATTACATCGATTTTGTCAGTTCCACAGTGGTTCGCATTAGCACCACAGAAAAGCAATGCGTTCCTGTAGGACAAGAAACCGCGAAATGTATTCTTTTTTAAATAAAAAGCTGCTTCGCGCTAAGCGCTAACAACTTGCCCAGCCGAGCGACGTTTTTTCGAAGGCAATCTTGTTAATTAGTTCGAATCGATTTTTGATAACATATCTAGGTTTAAAGGCAGTATAATATTCTAAAATTTTTGTTAATCTTGTTGAGAATTTAACTGATGGTGCTGTAACAAAACAAAACCACAGGCCCTATTGGCATATCCTGTGTGTAATTTAATTAAAGAATGTCATTAACAAGTGATGAATCGGTAATTATAGGTTTGATTTGTTTTTGATATAACTGAGTGTCTGGTTTAAGGAATTGTTTGGTTTTTGTAATATATTCTAGAAAATCGATAGCAGCGACTGCCTTTCCTTTATCTGCTCTTGTAAATACTATATTACTTTGGGAAGCCTTTTTTATTGATGTACCATAGACATATGTGAAAGATCCTGGAATTTACTGCTGATAAAAGCACGGTGTTGCCGAAACAGTCATAAATTATAAAAAACTGTGGAAATCTGAACATTTTTTGTTCTAATTTAATTCAAATTAATAAATACAAATGCAAGGTAAACGTCATGCTCTGCGGAGTACAGGATTGGTATGAATGGAAGCTCTCTTATATTCCGAAATGGCTCCAACATAAGTCTCCAGTACTAGGAAGAGAGTTCTTTGTGAAAATAAACATGTGTGCATATAACGGCTCCTTCACAAGGTGACTATAATAACTCGTAGATATTCGCGTTCGGAATCGAGACGCCTTACATAATATCGTCGTGTACTATTCATGTAAAATATCGAGTTTCCATCGAAAAACGCCGCAGATCTGTTTGCACGCCGGCCAACCTCAAGCCGGTCGGTCGTGATACCACGAACCGAAGTACCGCGCCTTCGTGTTTTACTAATGCCTACAACGCTTACCGCGGGCTGCGTTTGTAGTTTAAGGAACGTTATCTTAGCGGCGACTTGAAAATGGACCTCTGTGGGCGGTGGCACCACAAAGTACTGTCAATGTAGGATCCACAATCGTTTGTCCAATCAACTTTTGTGGGATATTTTGATAATATATTATTATAACGGGTGATCTCCTAACTCATAACTTAATTAATACGTGCTTAGAAGCATATGATTTTTCTCTGTTCATTCCTGAACCCGCCCGTCTAATTCAGAATTCTCAAACCTTGTTCGACGTAATCGATACTAACCAACCTAATATGACTACTTCTTCTGGAGTTTTGCATCATAATTTTTCTGATCATCTCGCTGTTTGGTCAAATCAAATTTGCAGCCTTCGATATCGATGTTTCCGAAATTTCAACGATGACTCTTGTCGGTATCCCTTAGCATCTCATTATTCGCGAAAATTATATTGATCAGAAAATAGATATGTTCAATTGCTTCATAACATCATTGTTTGATAAACATGCTCTTGCTCTAACATCATCAAAACCTATGCTAGTTGGTTAACAAATACTATTCGTGAAATGATGAAAATGGGAGATAGTCATCGTCAAAATATAAAAAATCCAACTCTATCGCTGACTACATTGCTTATAAAGAAATAAGGAATGTTGCTACAAGTGCTGTACGAAAGGAAAAATCGGCATATTTCAATTCTAGGAATTCCAAATAGAAATTTGGAAGTACTACCTAACTTGAAAAGTCCCAGTGATATTAAGCATTATTTTACTGTTGTTTTTAGCAATATTAAATATGGCCCCGAGCCCACTTCTTTCCATAAAAAGCACAAGTTCAACTCGAATATATCATTTGCATTTAAACTCAAAACTGTTGACTCAATGAAACTTTGAGTCAAATTCTGCTGGTTCTGCAGATGATCCGCCATATTACGGCGTCATACGTTACTCATATTAATTGCTGTTCGGAAGTAGGCTATTTTCCTAGTATTTGGAAGTTTGCTTTGATCACACCATTGGCAAAAAATAACAATCCCAGCCAGTTCCAGACCAAGGTCCAATCAGTATTCTTCCAACCTTATCTAAAGTTTTGAAGAAAGTCATTAATGTACAAATTTATGATAGGTTGTCACTAACAGTCAATCTGGATTTCGTAAAGGCTTTAGTACTATTAGCCTACATTTACATATCATTAGTTTCTTAGATAATGGTCTTGCGACTGCACTTATATCTTTAGATTACTCAAGCTTTTGATCGGCTTGATCCTAAACTTATGTGCCCCGCAGCTGTCGCATTTTATCCTCGGTACTACGCAAAGGGCTAAAAATGCAGAAATAACCAGAATTTACAATTATTAGAAGAAAAAACGTAAAAAAAAAATT